ATTTAAGGGTTGTTGAAGGGGTGTATTCCGGTGGCAACAAATGGTATTAATAATTGTTATAAGTCAATATAAATATAATTTTAACAATTTACTTAAAATCCATTATGGCTTTAAGCTTGATACCTAGGAAATAATACACAACTAATTTAAGGGTTGTTGACGGAGTGGATTCCGGTGGCAACAAAGTATATTAATAGTTGTTATAAGTCAATATAAATATAATTTTAATAATTTACTTAAAATCCATTATGGCTTTTAGCTTGATAACAGGGATATAAGACATAACTGATTTAAGGGTTGTTGAAGGGGTGTATTCTGGTGGCAACAAATGGTATTAATAATTGTTATAAGTGAATATAAATATAACTTAAACAATTTACTTAAAATCTATTGTGGCTTTAAGTTTGATATCCGGGATATAATACACAATTGATTTAAGGGTAGTTGACGGGGTTGATTCCGGTGGCAACAAGGGGCATTAATAGTTGTTATAAGTCAATACAAATGTAATGTTAACAATTTACTTAAAATCTATTATGGCTTTCAGCCTTATACAAACGATATAAGATATTACCTGTTTAAGGGTATTTGACGGGGTGGGTTCTGATGGCAACGAAGGGCAGAAATGGTATTTATAAATCAATAGAGATGTTATCTTAAAATTTTAAGACGGTTTTAATGTAATAGCAGGCTTGTTATTTGGGATAGAATACTTGGATCTTTCCAAGGGTAGTTCATATTGACAGGGTAGTTTCCAGTGGCGGCAATAGTTTTTGTAAATGGCTATAAATGAAACGTAAACTTTTAAAATCGAATTTAACGTGGCTTTTTAAGCTTGATTGGAGATACAAGTTATGACAGTTTTAAGGGTTGTTGACAGGGTGTCTTCCAATAGTGACAAAAGGTCGGAATGTTTTTTAAAAATCAGTATAAAAGTAATGTTAACAACCTATGTCAAATATAGGGTGGTACGGGGCTAATTTTCTAAAATACATGTAACTAAGTTTTAAGGGTGGTTAATATGTGGGGTGGCTTCCGATGATGGGGAAGTGTTGTTTTTGTCTACAGAAGTAAGAATTTAGGTGGTAAAATCATTTTAAGTACGATTAAACGTGATATTACGGGTTTTCATTTTCATTCAAACGAACGTTCGGAACTTCAGGTACATGGCGCTCCAACTCCTACAATACACTTAATTTCAAATTGACTCCGATAACCAGTAGCGGTTTTACCATAAGAGCTGTGAAGCTGCAGAACACATAAAATTTATGTATTCAATCATATTAAATATCAACAAAATATTTAAAGAATCCAAATGCACTCGCGCTAAAATAAATCCAGGAGCTTATATTATTTATTACAACGCGAGCTACGCTTCTTAATATATGCAACCTCATATACAAAATGTGTGTACAGCGAACAGTTAGATGCGTCCTTTGTTTTTATTGGATAATCAGGTACGTGACCCAGTACACGAATATATGCGGTTATGTGGCTGCAACAACGACAGCCACTGCTGCAGTAAATGCAGTAATATTTCGTACATGGTATGTGGTGGTTTATTTCTGCGAGCGGCACGTGTGAATATTTTAATTTAGGCGCCTACGGATATTATAGTTATTAAAATGAATAGCGTTTTGTTTTTACAAAAAACTTTATTTGGTTCTCTGCCTTACGAGGATAAACTAAAAATAAAAGAATTAGGTGGGACAACACCACAATTAAATATTGAAGTTAGTAGAACAAGCCGAAGTAAAAGTTTTAAAAGACAATTTAACAATAATGTATACACAAAAACAGAGTGGGTGTGCGGGTGTGATATAAAATATACACTGTTTTGTTTTCCGTGCTTACTTTTCGGTGGGGATAAAGCATGGACAAAATACAGTGTGAAAGATTTGTCATTTAAGTCATTAGGTAAAATAAACATAAGTCAGTTAGATTCTGCATATTAGGATAATATACGGAAACACAAAAAACAGGTAACGAAAAATCGTTATTATCTAAACTCATAGATTGTATAAAATTTTGCAAAACTTTCGAATTAGCACTTTGCGGACACGACGAGACAGAAAATTCGGACAACCCTGATGTGTTTCGTGGACTCATAAATTTTAGTGCAGATCTCGACATATTAAAAGAACATCTAGCCGCATGAGTATGACCGGGATTTTCTGTGATTGTACTGGGAATTAGCTGTATGGTCCCACATTATTTCGGATTTGCACGTATAACTCCCAACTCCCCGATATGTAATATATGTACATATACGTATATAAAAAAAGATAAAGAACACGGTGAGGAAAATTAAAATTCGTTGAAACATTGGTAAACTTCACAAACGATTTTTTTGTTTATAAACAATATTCAATAATTTAATAAAATATATTTAGTTTATTCCAATTTATTTATACCGTCAGTAGGTAATTCGTGAATAGATATTTCAAAAAGATACCAATTTCAAAAATCGTTCTTATGAAAATCTGTATTTTTTTATAAATGGATTGTTCCTTGAAATTCAGAAGTGCTAGGAAAACGCGTGACCTTGAAAATTTTTAAATTTTTCGCCTGCGGCGCCATTTAGACTCTCCAAGCACTTAATATCCCGGAATGTAACAATCCTAAGCAGAACACATTCAATCAATGTTCGCACGCCGCCACTGCCGATAACATAGCTATTTTGGAAATATTGGGGCAGAGATGGTTAAATGGCATAATCGAATGAATAATAATCTCTGTTGGGATATGGAATTAGATTTTCAGTAAGACATTACGTTTTTTAAAAATCATAACCATATTTAAATTCGGACCTATTAAAATTGTATCATTGGATTTTTCATCCTCAGTTTTTAAATTGAGGTTATGTGGTGCATGCATTGAATGTGGAGTGTTTACATTTTGCGGCCACGAACCCTTTCAAGCAACTCAAAACAGAAAACAATCCGTGAACACCCATGAACTCTATGAAAAGGCGTGAAAACCATCTACACTCATGTTTGCAGGGCTTAACAGTTTTTGCAGTGTGAGTCTGGATTCGACAATTTTTAAAATGTATTGATTCGACATACAAGTCTTACTGGACATTACAGTCCGACTGATAAAATATACAAATATATTTAAAATGTAGACAGGTTGACACTAATGTTATCTTAATATAATTAATTAAAAACAGACCTTCGGACCCATAGTCACAGCTACAGCATCAGCCAAAATATCAACCCCTTGGAGCATAAGTGCCCGAACTTCTGGTCCAAACCTAACATCTTTAGCATACCATCTTTCCACCTGACCAATTTGATGAACTTTACGTAAGGCCAAATTACGAACAGTTGTAGGTAAACGGAACATCTGAAAAAGAATATATCATACTTGTGTACTTCTTTTTAACTAATTTAATACAAACTTTTTAGAAATTTGCTATTGTCAATGGCGTCAAAAATATAAATGCAAAGGTTACTATTTTTTATATAAAATTTATTAAGACAAAGTAATTAACGATTACGAATTAAACTAGGTACACAAAAAAAATAAATTTCTTTAAAAGAATTGTGATACCTATTACAATTAATATAAAATTGAAGATCTCTCAATCGATTAAAACATTACGAAACCGGAGCACATGGTAACCTTGCGTGATATTAAATATATTAAAAGAATATACCTAATATACAAGTCAATGCCTTTTTGTCAAGTCTAGCAATAATAAAATAAATAAGTTTTAATATTTACCTTAATTTAAGGTATTACTTTCTTTTTTGTAACTGAAAATTATAAAGAATACCGGCGACAATTCACGTTTATCAAATCACTGCAGCAACCAAATAGTACCGCAAACGAGCTTGTTCTAGAAATTCTAGAATATAGAATATTGAACTTTAATCAGTAATTCAACGGGCAATCCGTTAGAGGGCGCATCTACCTTTACCCATAGAAATTTAAATCTAATACAATATAACTATGGTTCAGGGTCGCCAATATAATTCGTCAAAATTAAATTTATGTACAGTTGGAACCGCCATTATTCCATGGCTAGAAATTGGCCTCAATGATTTGGGATCGAGGGAGATTATCCCTCTTTATCCTGCCTGATCTCGGGTAGGCCTGGACAGCCTTCGTAGGTGGGCCCCATCCGTCGTCTACCCCGACCGCAAATGCGGCCGGTGTAGGCGCTTTGTGGGACCTCATTTTGTCCGGTGGCCGTGCGGAGGGCTATGTTTTCCACAGCCTGTAATGACTTTAAGTGGCTTTTTGCCGCGTGACCCCACGCCGTGGAGGCGTAGGTTAGCTGCGGTTGAAGTACCACCTTGATAAGCGTTCGCTTATTCCTTAAACTGAGGGTGTTTCCANTAGGGTGGTACGGGGCTAATTTTCTAAAATACAAGTAACTAAGTTTTAAGGGTGGTTGATATGTGGGGTGGCTTCCGATGATGGGGAAGTGTTGTTTTCGTCTACAGAAGCCAGAATTTAGGTGGTAAAATCATTTTAAGTACGATTAAACGTAATATTATAGGTTTTCATTTTCGTTCAAACGAACGTTCGGAACTTCAGGTACATAATATATGTGATTTGGCATTATGAACTATGGGTACAGCATGTAGGACTTTTTACTTTTTACTAGAAGAATATACTCTCTTATGTCTCACTTTAATTCTGAGAAAATTGACACATATTTTTTTTCTTTTTTTATTCTCATTGTTCAAAACCAATCGTTTTCAAATTTTATGTGAAGAATACCACAGCGTATCTCTACTGGCACAGAACATTTCAGAGCAAAAAAGAGTCGGTTGCATGCAACTACCACTCCCAGAAACCTTTTAGAGAAAGTATATGTCACGTCACTGACTAATGTTTAAAATAATTCAATTTTTTGGACATTTTTCAGACAAGTGTTCTTACAATTTCTTCCTATGAGACATCAAAAAGGAAGAAAGAAGGCCGACTTAATGAACATTATCCAGACAAATGGATCGGCCACAAATGTCCTGTTCCTTGAACAAAGTTCTTTTTTCCTTTCAGTTTATTAGAGCGCCTTTTTAACATTTCATGTTCAATTCGAATATTAACATTTTGACAGTTTTCAAATAATAAAATTAATTACCTGTAACAGCTATATCCATACCAACATCTTGGCCTTTTATAATTTTTATTCCCGTTATTCATACTGGAAGGTGCTGTATTTTTATTTTTAGTGCAAGAAGTTTCACCACTCGGTATTTTTTGTATATGGTCATTAGTAGTTCCTTTACCAATATCGTCATTTTCCAAAACATGATTATTTACACCAAGGTCATTGGCTTTTATACTATTACTTTCTATTTTAATGTTATCTAATATTTCTGTTTTTGTCGTAAAACTACATCCCTTTCCATTCTCAGTACAGGAACTTCCTTCTTTTATCTCTTGGGATACATTTGTATCATTTTGATTGACATAATCTTCAACGATAGTTTGGGCCAGACTCTCAGTTTTCACTTTAGGTGGAGTATAAAATGAATAATTTACAGATGTACTAGGTCTAATTAACTCATCAGAAGATGTGTTAATTTGTTTTGTACTATTTATATTTTTACAAGATATTTTACGACGCTTTGTAATTAAATTTTCGTCATTGTGACTACGCTTAACTCTGGATGAGATATAATTAATATCCACATCTACAGAATTTATAGCTTCAACTTTATGGGAATGATGGTCAATGTTATTTTTAATAGCTACATCCTGCACAATTTCACTTGTGAAATCAACTCTTTTATCATCTTTAATAACTTTTACTTTAAACCAAAAAAAGCTGGCAAGAAAAGCAAATTGATCTCCTTGATTCAACACAACAGAAGCATCTTTAGGTAATATCATTACATTACTTCCATTAGCAGATTTAAAAAAACATGGGTTTACATGTATCTATAAGAAAGAGTGATACATAATAGAAACACTATAATTTATATTTTAAAAAACTTACTGCTTTAATGGTCACCGTATTGTTGCAAATTTTAATTAATGCATGTTTCCTGGAAATTCTTTTATCATAACACTAAAATTGTAAAATTGTATATTACTTTTCTACTTACTTTACATTTTACTAATATTACTTACATTTAAAACGCCTCTTCCAATTACATGTTGTCCTTCTGATAAAACAAAAGCATCTTCCTCTTTTACATCTCCCAAAGAAAAAATTTTCAATAAAGTCATATTATACTATTACAGCTTTGTTTTGGTTCCCATAAAATCCGGTTCCGAATCCGAACGGTTCTTATCATATGACTAAATAAATAAGACCCGTGAAAAGGATAGGAAGAGCAGAATCATGAATGTATGAGCGCCACCTCACAATGGGCCTGGAAAACACGCCATCGTTAGCACTATGTATCGAAAACTGTAATACTAACTTGAACAGAAAAGTAATATTGTTATTAGAACCTATAGAGTTCGCTGAAAAAATTAAAAATTTGGTGATATTACATGTATTCTTTCGTGCGGAAGCCGAACAAACTGGTTGCAATCGGTAACTAGCCAATCATAATACAGCATTTTTAAAATTCTTAATCATGATTGGTTCTTTACTGTTGATTTCAATCACTTTGTTCAATACGAAAGAATACGTGTATTGAAAATTANTAATTTAATAAAAAATAAGGTTTATAGTCACTATACAACTGTGCTAGCAGTACGCGTTTTATATCCAATATTCACCTGTTTAACTGTCACATATATTATACAATGGTCTTATAAGGGCATATAGAATTCTAATAAAGAATACAACGCATTTCTTTAAGTGTACTTGTAATGGTTTTTATACACAAAAATTGTAAATGAATACACGATATATTGTATAGAATTACACGTTTGAATGTATATGTATTTCCTTTTTACGATGAATTATCGTTTACGTAGTAAATTTTATGTGTTTTTACTATATTTAAAATAAATATACGAATAAAAGTGTCACCTTACATGAGCTGATTTGGCTCAACCAATCAGATTAATCATGTGGTGTCACTGCGCATGAGCAGATAACTGCGTTAGTTGTTCAGTAGGCATGTTTAGATTCATTTGTGGTATAATAATATATCATAGTGACTACTAAATAATTATAATGTTATAAATAAATACTGAGGTAAGTAGACAATATAAATTATATAAATCTCTCTGTATATATTAATTTAAAGTTACTGAAGAGGTGACAACATTAATAATAACTAGGGCTGTCAGAACTGAGCCGCGGAACATAGGCCTACGCATAATTTATTGTAAAGCAACATATTAAATTGTCTATAATATTAATACACCACCATAAACACCAACGGATAGGAATTAATTACGCAACATTCGTATGATAACAAAGCAACAGTTTTCTAACATGACTTGAACGTGGAATAGTCCAGGCGATAGAGCAGTAAAGGTAGGCTTTGGCGTTTGTGTTTGAAGTCATCTATTTTGTTGTGCAGAAAAATCCCAAATATTACGTAGATTAAGAATCCGAGTTTGCCTATTCCAAAAAACCATTGCTAAATTCGGGGGAACAAGAAACATACAAAAAGAACAAAAAAATGACCCATTTTTCGACATATTTTTCCCTGTAACATTGAAAGTAAGCCCTAAATAAAAAGAGTCATTATTTATTTTTTGTTTATTTGACGATTTTCTATAAAGTTACAACAACTGCGAATTTTGCGTTAACAATGGGCGAAAAATAGTAGAAAATCATATGTATATTTGGAGCAATTTTTAAAATAAGTAAATATTTATAAATATTGATGAAACTTTGTGAAACCTCATGAAGACCTCATGGTAAAAAGTGCTTTATAGGGTTGTTGCTAGTCAGAGCTTCTCAAGATAAAATGTCGGAGAACTTCCTCCATCTAAGTGGTGCAAGACTAAATCATCATATAATTTGACCTTGAATTCAAACTCAGAGACTTCAAAATTGGTAATCGATTTCTCGTTTTTTGCTTGGTTTGACCTTTAAATCACCTTGAAATAATCGTTAAATGACCTGATGCAGACAAACTGACCTCAGATTCCAATTCAGCTATCCCAGAGACCTGTAACAGGCGGTTAGACTTAATTGCTCGTTTTTTCAATTTAACCTTGAAATGACCTTGAGACGACTTTTAAATGACCTGATACAGATAAACTAACCTCGGATTGTAACCCAGCGACCTCAAAATCCTGTATAACAAAGTGGTTGGACTTGATTGCTCGGCTTTTTCTCAATTTCATCTTGAAATGACCTTGAAACAACCTTAAAATGGCCTGATACAGACAAACTAACCTCCGATTCGGATTCAGCGACCCAAAAAAACTTACACTCCGAGATCCTTTAATTTAATGCACCTTATGTCAATCTGACCACTAATTGACCTTGATCCTGACTAGGAAGGAGGGGGGATGTTCCATATGGAGTGTAATCGATTAGTTATTGGATATAAAGAGTAAAAAAATAGTTTTTCTTTTTTTGCCTAAAATGCTGGGGGGCGAAAACCGGCCTATGTGAGCCTCCCCCTTTGTTTTATTGAGCTGGGTAACTTGATTACTTCTTAAAAACATTAATATTTACGGAACGTAGTTGATTGTTGCAGTAATATAACGTGAACTGTATCATAGTGTAGAAAAGTTTCTGTAAAAAGTTTACTTTCTCGATTTTTAAATTTACTCTGCTGCGAAATTCAATAATCCTACTGTATTTTATACTCTTTTTACTACAGAGGAAGTTAGACTTTATATCTCTTCTAAGAGCTCCTTATTTTCTACTTTGTTTCATTTTACTTTTCTACGATCAATGAAGCCGTTAATTTTTATAGACCTTTACGTTTCTCCTCATTGTTCTACTCAAGCAATTGCCAGTCAATGCTTGTATTTTTTTCCGGGAGAAATTGGTTCTAGCCGACTATAACGCTATGTGACTCCGCTTTTAATGCGTCCTCTTCTATGCTATGCATACAGGATGAAGTGCATTCTGCAATTTTAAATGAGCACTAAGCGGTAAAAGTAGGCGAGTTTTACTTTGGGGAAATTAAAAGTTAACGCTCATAAATTCCGACTAGTTCAGTTTACATTATACAGTTCCTAGTTGGCTATGCAAATAGTTTAACTGGAATTGACTCAGATGCCCGGGATAACTTCATATTAAGGAGTGGAGTATGAATAAAGTGTTGGTTTTCCTCTGAGTATAAGAATATAAACATAAGGCAAGTTAAATTAAAACTGTTTTGAAAATGTAAAAAAATGGTATGAAACTTGAAATGGCGGACGAACTCTCGAATTTGGGTAGTTCTTACAACAATAACGTCACAAATTTATGCATATTTTCTTTTTTTAGACTCAACCCTGTAAAGTTATTAAGTTTCTGAAGTTGAGAGATGAAAATGGATTTGTCGTCATCATTTTTTCGTGTCTTACTATAATAGATTTAAATAAGTTTTGGGTAAAGCCTTTGTTATTTGTAAGCCAAAAAAAAAGATATATAGTTTCTGCTTTTCTGCTATATATATTTTAACGCCGTTTTTTAAATATGTATGCTTTACTAATTGAAAAAGGTATACTTCTTTCTTATTGATGAAATAAACTTTTTCGAGATAAATACATTTTACAATAAAGATACCATTATTCCTCATATTCTTTTTTATAGTCTGTTTGGAAATGAAGGAGAGTAATAAAACCCCGAGATAAGAACCGGCCATGGGCGTGGTAATATTTCGTTTCAGGTAATTATCGGGTAACACTAATGCTAACAAAAATGACAGGGATTGGAAAATCGACTATCTACAGACTTTTAAAGGAAACAAAAAATGAACAAGATACTGTAAATCCCCCAAAATCATCTACAGGGAGGTCAAAAGTCGTTATAGATGATTTCTTCAAAAATGTCATTCGCAGAAAAGTACACTCATTTTATTTTAAAAAAGAAATACCAACGCTAAACAAAATTTTAAGTGAACTTTCAGAGGACAACGATTTGCCAAAAATCAGTAGAAGCAAATTATGGGCCGTCTTACGAGAGTTGAATTTTTGCTGGGAAAAGCAGAACAGGAAGTCAGTTCTTATCGATAAAGATGAAATTATTTGTTGGCGAAGATCCTACTTAAGATCAATTAGAAAATTCCGTGACGAAGGGAGGAATATTTATTATCTAGACGAAACTTGGGTCAACGAGGGATATACTGTAACAAAAGTATGGCAAGATAAAAATGTAAAAAGTTTTCGACAAGCATTTTTGGATGGACTTTCAACAGGGTTCAAGGCACCTTCAGGTAAAGGGCGAAGATTAATAGTGACACATATAGGTAGTGCCAGTGGTTTTGTAGATGGCGGTTTACTTTTATTTGAATCTAAAAATACAGGTGACTATCACGAAGACATGAACGCAGATGTTTTCGAAGAGTATTTTACACAGATGTTGGATCTTATTCCTCCGGGGTCTGTAATTGTCATGGATAATGCCAGTTACCATTCACGGCAGACCGAGCGGACGCCTACGACTGCTTGGAGGAAAGCCGATATAATTCAATGGTTATCCGGAAAAAACATTTCTTTTGAAACAAATATGGTGAAAAAGGAACTTTTGACACTTGTCAATCTTAATAAAGATCAGAAAAAATATGTTATCGATGAAATGGCAACAAATCGCCAAATAACGGTACTACGGTTACCACCTTATCACTGTGAACTTAACCCAATCGAATTAGTCTGGGCGCAGGTAAAAGGAGATGTAGCGCGAAATAATACGACGTTTAAATTAAGTGACGTGAAAATTTTGTTAAAAAATTCCTTGGAACGAGTAACTGCAGATAACTGGCAAAGATGTATACATCATGTACAAAAAGAAGAGGAGAAAATGTGGGAACTCGATAATTTAATTGACGTTACTGTGGAACCTATCGTTATCAATCTAGGAGACGAAGATAATTCATCAGAATATTCAGAGGATGAATTTTAATATACCTACTTTTTTATTTTCTTTATTGTACATTTATACAACACTACATTTACTCACCATAATTTGAATTTTCAAAATACATATATTTTTGTGTGGAATAAAAGTCTATTCATTAAATTTAAATAAATATTTTGATAATAATATTGAATAATTTTATTTGAATTACTAAAAACCCTCTTAACCCGGTTATGATGCTTAAAGTAGCCTCATGTTTTGAAATGCTGTTTTTATATTGTTTACTTATAAGAGAAATGGACCGAGAAATTGAAGCGGCATAGACAAAGACGGATTGTCGGGGATTAAATTTTAGCTACCTGCTACAATTTAGTACAGTTCGATCGCACAAAGTTTTTTTAA